AACGGCGTATGTCAGGTCCTGCAATCAATGTCAGTTAATAAATGATATTAATTACAGCCCGGCCGGGTACTTAAATAGCATTCGCGCTACATTTCCGAATGAAATTTTAGGCATAGATCTCCTTGGTCCCTTCCCCCAGAGCGAGTTAAATAAAAATCGTTTTCTTTTAGTAATAGTAGATCATTTTTCAAAATGGATAGAAATTGTTCCACTTAAACGCGCGTCAGCCAAAACAGTCGCAGATGCATTCTTACACAGATACATTTTAAAATACGGTGCACCGATAAAAGTCATTAGCGATAACGGAAAACAATTCATTAGTCAAATATTTGAAAACATATGCAATGGACTTGATATACGCCATATCAAAATGGTTCCGTATAGACCACAGGCTAACATAGCAGAAAGAGTTAATAAAAACATTGTAAAAATAATTCGCAGTTACGTTAGCACACATCACAAGCGCTGGGATGGCTACATAAATGAATTAGCTTATGCTTTAAGAACGGCACATCATGATACTACGGGAAAAACTCCAGCAGAATTATTTTTAGGCAGAAAGTTAATTACGCCTTTAGATAAATTATTCTTTGTGCAACAAAGAGAGCAGGAATTTAAACAAAAGGACGTGCAAAAACTAATTGATCAGGCGCTTAAAACCTCGGATACGGCAAGAAATAGGCAGAAAATTTATTATGATAGAAAAACGCCGTGAAGCAGATTTTAAAGTTGGGGATAAAGTATTGAAACGGAAATTTTCTTTATCAAGTGCCCCAGACAATTTTATGGCAAAGCTAGCTCCAAAGTTTGAAGGCCCCTATGTAATTCAGGAAATCAAAGGAGTAGTCTTATATCTTAAAAACGAGAGAGGGGAAATCTGTAAAGCAAGTCCCGACCAGGTGAAAAAATACTATAATCCAAATGATTTTGAAATCCTTAAAAGTTTCTTGCAGGACTCAAGTCTAAACGAAATAGAAGGGCCAGAGACTGCAACAACTATTCCACCACCCAAGAAACGGAGAGAACTGAAGAGAGACCTAGCACTTCTACAACCCGGACGTCGGTATCAAAAAGAAAAAATGATTTTCAAACTCCGGCGTTTAAGAAAAACAAAAATACAGATGAACCGGGTAAAGAAACCGTGGTAAAGAAGAAAACACCACCTACAAAGGATGGCAGGAGAAATTACACACATCAAGGAGAACGCGCACACGGCCACAGAGTCAGGTGCCAGCAAGGCCGCCGTTCCGGAAACTGAAACGCCAACAGGAGGCACAGAAAATACGAGGAACAGAAGAAATTCAAGAAGGACTCCAGACCGGAGGACGTCAAGACCAGCCGTCCCAGGCAGAAACGCAAAGGCCAACAACCAGACGATTACTCCGTCAAGAGGCCAGCATGTAGAGGACGCAAAAGAAAGATCAACGGGGACGACACGCGGAGATCAATAAGGAGAAGATTGACATCCATGAAACCTCTAACTTGGGATCAATTTTGCCAAAAACGGATGACGGAGTTTCAAGCATCGAAAACTCAAAGATAAGTTAAAACCTTCTATAAATTTTTTTTCTCTTTTGTTCCGAAATGTTATGCATAAGTACGAAGTTCTATGTTTTGACGAAAGTCAATATGTCTCGGTTGAGACTTAGTTTTGTTTTACTTTATTTAGCTAAGGCAAAAGTATTATTTTCTTTAAGTGTAAAAGCTAAAAACAAGCATTTTCTGTTGGTCGAAAGACTAATTCTGTTATGTTAAAGCCAAAATTTGGCCGAAGATAAAAATAACTTCGTATTCTTGTATTAATAAGAATTTTAGTTTCAGTGCCGCCAGCTTGGCGAAGAATGAGTAAAGTAAAAATTTATTTTCTCTTATTCATTTTATGGTAAATTGTAAAAAGCATATGTATTAAACTTTTGTAAATGTATGTAAATACTTGCATGTTATGTAAAAGTAGAATTTAGTCTAGAAGCATAAAATTGTAGATGCTAAAAGTGAATGCTTAAAAGCAATGAAGTCAAAATTTAAGTATTAAACTGTAGATAAAGTCATGCTTTAGAGCGAAAGCCTGCATGTTTAAAGATGAATGAGGGGGAAGTTAGAATGAATGTGTTTTGTAGGGTTCTCCACCTACATTTGAATTTTTAAGAATATTAAAGTAGCTCATTGAGTTGTAGAATGTCGAGTAAGGTGTGTCTATTTGGTTGTTGAATTCTAACAAATCATGGTGGTTAGGGGAAGTGTTGTAAGACTAAAACACGAATATTCCCGTTTGACACCACACACGGTGGAGAGCCAGGGTAAAGTTAAATTAATGCTTGAAAAATTGAATGAATGTGAAGTAAGCAATAACTAAGAAAAACGAATCGTTTAAAAACAAAAATTTATTGTGTCAAGAAAGTGTAAATTATAATGTATGTAGAAAGATACTGATACTTATTCCTTCCAGATGCTGGAAGGAAAGACCAAGATTGATTGATGAAGTCCAGGAAAAGTTGCTGTAAGAAGAAAGCTTTGTAACGAGCAACAGAATTTTAGTATAATTGTTACATAAGATTTTTTTGTGTAAAACGAGGCTTCTCGCCAGTTAGTTCAGAATTAGATAAACTTACAACAGGTCGTTTGTAGGACCTGCTTCCAAGTTTTCCAAATTCTGGCAGCGGCAAATGTAGGGTTTATATTTATTTTAACTAACATTTATTTTAAGTTTAAACTATCTTTCCTGTCAAGCCTTACTTTCCCCTGGAACTGCCAATGCCAGAATATGTAAATTTGAGTAGAACGCGCAAGCATTCAAATTATCAGCGGAAGTATTATGATTTAAATAGAAGGAAACGAGTTCGGTGTGAGATATTTTTATTCTTACTTAGCGAGCGCGGAGGTAGTTAGCGAGAATTGAAGAACCCCGCGTTGCGGCCTATGTGCTTGGCGGGAAGTAGTGGAAATTGTTCCAGTGAGCTTCAAGTCTGCTGAATTAGCAGCGGTATTGTAAAACGCGGTGAGTTAGTTATTTTAGAGAGCCTCGTAGTTAGAATCTTGTCTTTATTTTCTTTTCAGGTTATTATTTTTATTTGACTGCCGAGTTGGCACAGTCTGTAAGCGTCAAGAGGACGCAATTGTAATTTATTACGTTGAATAAAAAGGGACTTAAACCCTTCACAAGGCTATCTTTTATACAAGTCACAGTCCCTCTGGTGGATAGGCGCGCACGTATAGTTTAAAGTCTCACTTTTAATGCTAAAACTTAGATACTAGGTACTTAAAAATAAAAAAGTAGTAAAAGGTGAATTCTGTTATTGTCATTCAGTTACAGATCATTACAGGAATCATAACTTCATAGCCAATGTCAATGGAATTTAGCAATCTGCATTGTGTCTGTCACCCCATCCTCTAGATTTCATGTAGGCTGACGGACCAATGATCCTGTCGCTCCTCTTATATTATTTCAACTACTGTAATGAATCAGAGAACGTAAAATACAGCCAAACAATTAAGAAAGCATGACTGATTCAGTCTGCAAACTGTTTCAGATAAGGCAAGAACTCAGAATGCTTTTAAACTCTCGACTAGAGAGACTGTTGCCGATAGCAAGATCCTCACATAATGAGGATAACAACTTATAATAATCGTTTTTATGCCTTCTGTATTGCTATGTATTGTTAATAGAACAATTAATACATTTATATCAAATATATTTTAATTTTATAAGCAACCTTAATAAACGCAAACACCACAAGTTAACACATGGAGTCGTGCCATCAGCGCAGATTACCATAATCACCCGAGGTTAATTCAACGCATTAGAATTATTTAAAATTGGGGACACTGCGCACGACGCCTAAGAAAGACCGTTTTTGACTCAATCGGTTTAGCTCTTCAGCTATATCATCGAAATTCGCAATTTCTATCCTTGTGATATTTAAGTTCTAGCCTATCTTTCATTGGCCTTTATCTTCTAGCCTATCATTCTGCCTGAGTTCTTTGGCCAACAGCATCAGACAGAAAGAAGAGGGATTTTCACAGGCACCTATTGGTAGCAAACATCTCCATTAATATATCTAACTGAGTAGGCAAAAGATCAATTATTTCACAACATCCATTATAGATAGAGCTTTGAGGTTGGCAAGGTAAAAACAACTTGTGGCGGCCATACCAAGCAGTCTTCGCCGCACTGGTGACTTGAACGTCTTGGCTGCTTTGCTGTCGTCCTTCTTACACGTACAAACAATTGCGTATACGCAGTGTCGTATATACACTCAAGTAGCCATGCCTAATCAATCGTGTCACAACAGTATTGACTACGTGCTCACGCTTCATCCTGCAACATAAAGACGATGCATATGCCAGCAGACTAGGGTTTCTCAACCATGTCCACAGTTTGTACATTTCTTTTTTGACAGCTGTTTGGTTTATTTCTGACTATCATCACCAGTTCACATTGGTAGAATTTTGTGAATTGCAACTATTGATTGGAATGAATGCCTAAAATTACATGCCTTCTCATTTATGAATTTTCTCTATTTTTCTTTGTTTTTTTTTGTATTATTTAAGATTTAATAAAATGGTCATTTTTCACATGAAGATGTATACTGGGCCGATTCCAAAGCCAGTGCTAAGACACTGGGTGGCATTCAAAATATCGTACCTAAAACAAACCAGAATCTCGATTCTCGTGACCTGCGGCCATACAAGGACATATCCTTAACAGCTGAATTCAGTTATTACTAATCCTATTGAAATGACTTTTCCGCAAACTTCTTGAACAGAGACATATGACTTATTTCCGTTTTATAGCATGGATAGACGAAAAAAAATACTTTTGGTGCATGGTTTCTTTAATAATTTTGAATTATGACACCAGAAAGAGTATTGGTTTTTATATTGTTCGTTAAGGTAGAAAATATCAAATGCTGGAGGTAAAAGCCTAAGAGTAATGCAAAATAAAGTCCCTCAAATAATGAATTTAGCTTAATTCATATGAAATATTTTCACACTATACTTACAGAGGAAAGTTACATAAGATGCAGAATGACATATGAATTTTATAAAAGGCTTCCTGAGAGTTCGCCCCACAGAGGAATAGGGAGCCATTATGTAAGATACAGCGTAGATGGGAAACAAGAGACCAATCCGGCAGATCTCGAAGCACTGAAGCAGAATATTCTTGCGTCGGAATCCGGGAAGACCCTCGTACCAGATCGACGCCAAGAGTTGTTGGACGTTTGGATGGGCACAGAACTGAAAGAAATGAAATACGAGAACTGTGTATTTTTAAAGAATTTATAAATAAGATTTGTATGAAAGTGAAGCTTTGGAAAATACTTTTATAAATTGAGAGTTTAGTTGCTCTGTGAATAAACACCTTTATAAATTATACTAGATCTACATGTAATAATTTCATTAAGATTGTGATTAAAGGAAAGTAATAAAATATAATAGTAAAATCTAATTATAAAAATAAAACATTATTATTTACAATTCGTACATACATGCATTTAAAATTTTAGGTTATAGGTAAAGAATCCTTGTTTTGTGTTATTTAAGACTCTCTAACATATGCACATTCCTTGTCACATTTCAACAATGGGAAATCATACAATTTTAAAAGCAATGTTTTAGTGTAAAGTTGTGTCGAATTAGTGTTCACTATCTTTTCGTTCAGACGCCACAGTAGAAATTTAGAATTTTTGGATTCAAAACATCAGAATGCTACTATGCCCTCGATGGAATTCGAAACACAGACCTTCGAGTTGCTAGCTAGGCATATTAACCAATCTTTGAATGAAAGCACTTTCGGGGAGAATACCATAATTCCTTACAATGTTTCGTGGTATACAGCTATCATTATGCTATGAGATAATATTATTCGTATGCTTTTAATTTGTGCATAACGCTTAAGAAATGAAATGCGTATTGATAGTAAATTGTACTGAAATGTGTATCATTCATGCTCAATTTTTTCTAGTTTAAATTTGTATTTCGGCTGGCTGAATTCTGTAAAGCAATCCTTATTCAATAAATATATGTAACAGTTTAAAAGTTTTCATTTTTTGACGTTTTTTTTAGATTTCTTCTTCAAAGGAACAAATCAATGAAACTCTGAATACTTTTAATACATCTAACCATTTATTCTTCTCCTTTACAATATCTGATAATTGCTACAACTAGCCGTTTAACAGCCTAAATTGCGGAGGACAGATTTCTGCACATGCGTTTTTATATTATACAACAATGCTTCTTTTTGCCGCAACTGTATTCGAATTGACAAAATTTTCATATATTTGCATAAAGCATAACAACGCATTCCGTTAGTGAAACCAGAAGATATCGCACTGATGTCGTAATCTGTGACGCGAAATTTCAGAATATTGAACTAGTTCATTGTTGAATTCTTAGGAATACCTCTCAAACGAGTGGCGCTGGTAACATTGAGGAGAAGAAGAGAAAGCAGGAAATGTTATTCTATGTCTGATCATTATTTTTGTTCCTGGAAAAAAGGAGCCTATGTCAGATTGCTTGAAATAAAAGCAGTTTATTTCAAGTCATTTTAGATTGCTTTATTGCGTACTTTAAAATTTTATAGAAGAATGTTTCTCGTCCAATAAGGAAAAATGTTGTAAGGTCTTGAGGAAAGGTGCTGAATACAGTTTAACCACTTGCGTTAAAAAGACGTGCCACGCACATCGAGACGTTTTTGTCTCAAACCGCGAGCGACATGAACATCATTCGATTGGCATTTATCGCAAAAATGAAAATAACGTGGCGCACACGTCGCCTAACAACGAAATTGTTTATGTTTAAGAACGTGCACGAACTCAGTTACACACACAATACACAATAATTTAATAATGTAGATTGTAAATTAATCGATTGTAATTACATTATTAACAATTGTAATTACATACACAACAATTTAATAATGTAGATTTTTTGTGGCATTATAATGTAGATTTTTTGTGGCAACAGTTATGTTTTTTATATATTGCTTTGAGCTTGATAACTCACGGAATGTTATTCTTTTTGTAATGTTTAGAATGCTAAATAAGTTCGTTGTTAATTAAAAATGTTTTCTCTGTGAAATATATTACCATACGTCCGAGGTTATTAAATAAGTCAAGAAATGATTAATTTCAAACAGTTTATTTCTCGAGTTACAGCTCTGGATTGCACTCGCAGACGCGAAGCAGCGTAAATGAGACACTTTACCGCTTGTTATATTGTAGCACACGGCACCGTAACCGTGAAGTTTAATCATAGCGCAAGTGGTTAAAGGGGTTGGGGAATCCTTTCTCAAGTTAATGAAGAAATGAAATAAGAATAATAGTTCTAATGAAGTTTGTTGCGTTTAAAATGAACTAAAATCTATTGTTTAAGGGGAGAAATGCGTACTATACAAAACAATTAAATTATGGAGAGAAAAGTGATTTTCACAAGTTATAAAATTCTAGTTAATTTTTTTCTTTGGTTACTAAAACTTTAGGGAAGTGTCTAGCGACTATTCGCTGGTCTTTCTTACAGCTATAAAATATAAGTTCAAAGAAGGGTTAAAAACCCCTTTATTCCCTCAACAACACTAACAAGTGGTCCTTATCAGGCTTACAGGAAAGCCTCCACTTGGGCTTTAACTTAAGTTAGAAAATAAGAAACTAATCTAATTCTAACAAGTTAAACTTTAGAAGAAGCTATGTAAAGATAACTAACCAAGTTGGTCCGTAATTAAACCTCACCGGCGAAACATTTTTCTTCTGATAATCTACCAGAAACGTAAGACTATGTCCATACGTAGTATGATAGACCTACAGCAACGACGTGACCCGAAGGCAGAACACGCTCTACTGAGGAACCGCTCAGCTCTTCTATGGAAGTGACGGAGCATCCTATTAAGTAATGGTTCTACTTCATTTACATAAAATGCGATACTGAAATATCTTCCTGGCAGGCAGTTGTAGGGAAAAAACAAGAATTTATAGGAAAGGGTTTAAAATCTAAAATTAACTATTAGAAAATTAAAATAATCCCTACAATGTGATAAATTTATAAAGAGTCGTGTTGTACACTTCGGGAAGAATAGGCTAAAAAATTACTGTCAAACAGATTGCGATTATTTGCGAACGTATTCTAAACAATATCAAATTAACTAAGCCTAATCTTGCATTTTCGTAATTCATAATCTTGTATTTTCTGTGCATTTGCCATTTTTTTAATTCATAATCTTGCATTTTCTGTGCATTTGCCATGTGAAAAATACCTATCTGCAATTCAACTGAAGTCGGATAACCATTCAGAACAAATATAAAAAATAATTTTAAGTAGAATGCATAATTTTCTAATACCTAAATATCATAAAATCGTTTTAAATTGATTTTATTTTCGTTTGGATGATCTCTACTTTTAGGTAAGTAACCCAAGGATAAAATAAAATTAAAAAATTTAATTTAGGTTTTTTTCCTAGAAAACGTTGTCTAAGGAAAATTGGCTTATGTTTATAGTTGTCTAGGATAATAGAATAAAACAGTATTTAAAACAAATTATTTTCTAAAAATATTTGATGTAAATTGTGAAACGAAAGCATTCAGTAGCAATCAGATATCTACATGCTATTCTTATTTTAAAGTTAAAAAGGGTCAAACATATACGTACACACTGAACATTTTATTTTCCATCAGTAATATGTTAAATTTATAATTTATGAAATATTAGATTAAGAATATAGTTATTTCTACATAGAGGAATTTAAGTCCTAATTGAATTTGAAAATACGGACTTTCGGTAGATAATTTTAATACTGAGTACCTTCTTCTGTTTGTGCTTTATGGCCAGTTTAAGCCTACTCAGAAGCATTCTGTCTCCTTGCTCGAAGGCAGGTCCGGACGGGTCATAATTCAAGAGCACTTCAAGTTCGTAAGAGCTCCGAGTGTGGTCCAAGAGGGACGTGGCGAAATCCATACACTTTTTCCTTAGCTCCTAGAATAACAATAATGAAAAAGAAGAAAATCTTTTGTTCTCCATATTCAGCAAAAGAAAAAAAGATCATAAGCTATAGTTTGTAATAAATTCATTACAAACTTTTTTCTTATGATAGTATTTTTTTCAGCAGCGAAAAGATGTGACTGTCTTTAATTTGGATTGCAAAATTTCGAGAAATAGGGAAGCATATTTTTACGTGTTATGTATTTTTATTATTTCTATATTTATACTTAAGAACATTAATATAAATTGATTATGATCATAAAATTATCGATGCTGGATTATAATCAGGAGCAAGAAAACACTTTGGAATTGATTGATTAAATTTCTTGTTTTTTCTTTATTGTATAAAAATTTGGGAAATTTCTAAACGTTCTTTCAGAGAATTCCTAGGAAATGTAAATATTTAAACTTTTAACCAGAAGTTTAAGAACAAAGCATAGATTTAAAGGGAACATATTCGAGGCATTTGAGCTAACTAAACTATTAAGGTTAATATTACAGTTCTTCATGCAGCGACATCATGAAAAATCGTCATTTATTAAAATAATACATAGTAACATAAATTCAAAGTAATTAAAAACTTTACTTTAATTGAATAATCTTGTTTCTAAATTCTGGAAGCGAAGCAGTAATAATTTTAAGATGAACTTGAATGTTTTCTCCACTTCTCCATTCACGGTATTGCTTCAAAAAACTCAGTTTTAATAATGATATTTGTCTCTAAAACCACGTTGCAGTTAATTATTTATACAGCGAAATTTGGGAAAGCTATCTTATTTAAGGAGTAGATATCTTTGGAGTATTTTCTAAGGAAAATTGGCTTATGTTTGCATCACATGTGAATAAAATGCTGAAAGCTCAGAATTATTTATCCATTCAGCTTGTAAGAAGCAAATCCAGTGCGAAATAATAATGTTTCTTTCCTTTAACCACTCAAGCAAAGCGATGTCTCTTTGCACCAAAACTATTGATGCCTTTGTGTGGGAAAAAATTATTCGGATTTGTATTTGGAGTTATTTAAAAGAGTCTGAGAAATATCTGCAGATGATCTGTTGAGCCATAAATGAGTGAACGTCATGTGAAGTATCAGTGCTTCACAGCTATTCTACCAGCGGTGGGAAACTAGAAAAGAAATTCTAATGGTCACCACTTAATATTACAATTGCTATAATGCAATAACATCAAGTGAATATAATTAATTTTTATAATTAAATGCAGTACTAAACTTCAGGTTATTGTACTCATTCATTTGCTTTTCGTTATCAAGCTGACAGAAAGTGTTGGATGTTACTTGAGTGGGAAAATACCAAGAACTCTTTCCAATCTCGCGCTGTTACTGCCGGATTTAATCAGTTTTTTTACTGAAGGAGATAAAGCACCAATAATTAGTGTAATATTCATACATTTTCAGGACTAGTTTCGAAGGTTTAAATATAGAACCTTCAAAGTGAAATACTCCACAAAGATATCCACTTCTTAAACGAGATAGCCTTCACAAATTTTGCTATGTAAGTAATTAAATGAAATATATTTTTGGAAACAAAAATTATTTATTAAAACTACGTTTTGAAGCATAAGCAGAAGTGCTAAAAATAAGCCTATTTGATTATCTCCAATCAAGCTTATTTTTTTAGCACTTCTGCAGCTGACGAGGAAGAGCCTAGATTTGAACCTTTGAAACTAGTCCTGAAAATTTATGAATATTACACTGATTCTTGTTGCTTTAAATCCTCCAATAACCGCTTTTCGGTGGGTTATTTTAATTTATAAAAATTAATTCTAACTGGTTCCAAATGATACACTGCTGGCCATTAAAGTTGCCACACTATGAAGGAAAGCAAATATAAAAAAGATATTTATTGCACGTAACACACTACGGCATGAAGACAAAATTAAATTTGTAAGCATTTTGGAGGTTTATAGGAGTGCGAAATTAGTAGAAACAGCTGCCACCCCTAGCAGCTAAAACGGCCCTTACACCATTAGGTATGGAGTCAAACTGGGCTGGGATGACAGAAATGGGCAACTCATTCCATGCTGCTTTAAATCTATGCCACACTTCATCAACCGTATTAGCCGGAGAGAAGTGACGGGTCAGTCTCTCAGCAGCCTATGACCATATGTTTATAATAGGTGACAGATCTGAACACCGTGCAGGTCAGGGCATCAATCGAATACCCTGTGTATCGAGGAAGGTCAGGACACGACGTGTAACATGTGGTCTTGCATTACCTTGTTGGAACATGGCGCTTGAGAGCATCGGAGATAGGCCATAACCACTGGAAGTAAGATGTCAGAAATGTACGCATCTGCGTTCAAATTACCGTCCATTCGAATTAGAGACGTGCGTGCCGTGTACCCAGTGTCTGCCCAAACCATCACACCAGGCGCAGGGCCCCCTATGCCGATATCGAATGCAAGCAGGTGACGTGCGGTCTCCTCGACACTCTATACACGTATACGGCCCTCAAAATACTGCACGTAGAACCGAGACTCGTTTAAAAAGTCGACATTGTGCCACTCCTGTATCCAGCTTTGTCGTTTAGCGCACCATAGTCGCCGTCTCTCTCTATGTTGCATTGTCAAAGAAAGTTGAAATAATGGTCACCGTGCAGATGGTCCAAGCTGCTACAAACGTCGACGAACCTTACGAGTTGAATTTGAGCGTGATGTAAACATGCCCATTTTATGACTAATGGTCCGCGATGTAGTCGTGCGGGTTTGCAAAGCTAACCGCACAATATGTTTGCCCTTTCGGGCATTAGTCGTGGAAGGGTGTTGAGATCCTGCATGCCGTTCAGTATGACCCTCAGCAATCCATTGATTCCATATTAGAATGACAGTGGTTAGATGTCGACCAGTGCGACCGGCGATATCACAGAACGATAACCTACACTCTTGATCCTGCCTCTATAGAATTTCGAAACTTGCTGGAAAACATTTCTTTTATTATTCGAGGCATAACACGTTGTTCTCAACAAACTCTAACCTTACAAAGCTCTTTCCGAATGAGAAATCGACCACACAATGCAGTTCTTATGTCATTTCTCCCTCTTGCGTCTTCTAAATGCGCTGAAATACTAATCGTTTGCATATCCCAACTTCTTCATACTTTCATGTGATTTTGACGTTTGTCAGGTCATTCCTTCCTGGTGTTGCAGTTTTAATAGACAACAGTGCAGAACCAGGGGCAAGGGCAAGAACAATTCGCATTAAGGGACAGTGTGGACTCAGTTAACGTTTGAGTAATTGATCCGTGATTAATAAAAAACCGGTAGTGACTGAATGTATTACATTTTTTATTAAAAAGATGTTAGAAAAGGCGAAATTGGAGGAAGAATATTTCAATTTAAAAATGGTTTTTTGTTAGATTAATATTGCAAGTAACTCATGGTAATTCAATTCAGGTAAAAATGTTTCGGGTGTTTTTTAAAAAATATAGATAATTTACAGATGAGTCATGCATCGATAAAGTGCAGAAACTGGTAATTAAAAAAAAGTACTGAAAAAATTCTGAAAGGTTTGAGATTTTTAACTTAATCCCAAAGCGGCTTTTTTAACGTTTAATATGATTTATTAGCAGAGAGTGTCAATAAAATGGCGCGGATGGAATATGAAACATTTTGTAGTGCATTAGAGGAATATACGTATATTTGGACTAATATAGGAAAATAATGCATCTTCTGTATATTTGAAAAGTGAAAAAAATATGCAATGTAATTCTCTAGAAATATTTCATGTTTTTAATTAGATATATCATGAATTAAATGCCTTTTTATTAAAATGAATCAGATTAAAAATATTTTTAAATTATTATTTTAAATAATATTTTTAAAAACCGTACCTATTATGCTTTTAAATAGATTTGTTTGATTATCAGTTCCAGACAGATTAAATGCGAAAGAATAATAACACATATTTTACGATGGAAAAAGACGTGAATGAAAAGTGAAACAACGCATTTATTTTTTAAAACAAACTTTGCTACTCCGAGATAAACATGAATGCATTATTGTCCCGATAATGCGTCCAAAAACTACACGCTTGACTAAGATGAAAGCTTCAAATTAGCTAGGCGTGTAGTTAAAATTATACAGAACAATTATGCAAGAGCTTGACGATTAGAATTTGAACTTAGTTTCGCGAAGATTTTACAAACACTTTGAAGTGCAGTACTCGAATGATTTTTTTCCCTCGAAAAGAGGCAAAACAAATTAAAATAAGCATTTTATATGTAATATTGTTGCGTTCTACCGGTTCATGGATTTGGAGTGATTGACGACAACACTTGATGAAGAATCAAAACACAATTTATTAGCCAGTATTACACAGGAGAGCTCCAAAGACTCGTTTATAGTGGTCGAAAAACTACGATAAATGCGTTAAAACAATCAGCAACACAGCCTCCAAGCTATCAGGCCATAAGGTGAAGAGAGCTTCACAGCAGAACACGAAATACAGCTTCCGACTCGCTCTCGAAACTCAACAGTCTCAAGATACTCTTCACGATAAACTGCTACAACGCGTACAGGCAGCTAGATTTTTGAGCTGCCTTCGAGAACATTTTGGGACAAACCGCTAAGAATTCGTTCCAGAAGGCTCTAGCTCCATCTATGGCATATCGCCAATTGTGTCGCCAAATGGGCGATTTCGCACCAAAACAGGTAACCCTGCCTTTCGTTGCCATTTTCTGGCAACCTTAAACCGTTTTGCGGGAAAACTATCTTACTACGGCTGGGCATTTCCTAACAATATAATTGTTATTATTTCTAGAGTAATAACATCCACAGTTATTTGATATTTAAAGAATTTACTTTTTTATTGCCATTGTAGGAAAAGCATATTAAATATTTTTCATAGTTCGCCAAGTTCCAAATAATAGTTTAAAAACTAAAATTTGCATATAAAATCATTTAAAAACGTAAAAATATTATGTAATAGTTATTGTCATTTCTTATTCATATGAAGCATTTTTCTTGCCATTTATTTAAGAA